ATAGCTGCGCATATCAATAGATCTTCGAGATTAAGTTGCACTTGCCGCAGTCAGTCCATGAATGAGTGACCATTTTCTTAACGTACCGAGATTGACAGAATAGAGAGTGCATCTGTATCCTCAGACACTTGTTGCACTTTACTATGTTAAGATCATTATGGTTTTAAAATTCATGTAGCTAAAATGATTATAAGTTTATTATTACTTAATAGTTTTCAGGGACTTATGAAAGAATATAATCATGAAGCATGACGAAGCCTCATAAACATATTGGCCCTTTAACAGAGCAATCTTATTTAACTGATTCCTAGAAATTTCCTTACTTAAATTGTTAAGTTTACATTCATATTTAAGTCGAATGTTAAGATAAACTTCTATAATGTATTTAATTATTAATTTCAATTATCAAAAGTAATACTTTTATATGAAAAATAGAGCAACCATTTTGTACTCCGTGTCCCCGTTTTTTATTTCCTCATGAAAACATTTTATAAAGTATATAAAATATAAATAGGTATATAATTAGATAAGTATCTACCTATTTACATATAGTAACAATATGTTAAAAAAGAAATTCTGGGGAAATTGTCCATGGCAGTGAATATTTTTCTCCAAAGATCATAACTCAAAAATACAACTTTCTGATCTGAGTTTTGGGGAGTTTATCGGTAGAGCCACCTGGGATTTATCACATTTCAATTAAAATCCAAAAAATTAGTTACTTTTTGAAATTATTCAATTTCGTGCACTAAACAATAAATCTTATTACCGCTTCCTTAGCAATCATTTTTCATAGTCCTTGTAACTAAAATGTACATCACTAGATAACGCACACAATGACAAATCAAAATCAGTCACGAGTCACGCATTTTCGAGCATTTTATTCTATAATTATTATCTATATATTTATGCTTTTCGTAGTCTGTGGACGTGCTTATTTTTTAAAGGTTATGTCACAGAGTACATTATATATGGGAAGCGCGGGAACCTTGAAACGTGATAGGCGCCTTTTTTTAAACTAAAATTTTAATTTTGTTTTATTTAGTTAAAAGACACTAAACTTTTATTGATTTATTTTTACTGGGTTTCCTCATCATGGCGAAACGTAGAAAAAAAGGTTGCCGGGAGAAGAAGAAGTGTTTGAAGAAACGACTGAGGAGGAAGAAATTGATACCAGTACTGAGGAAGATCCTGAGAAAGAGCAGCGCAAGTATAAGCCGTACTTTGTATCTGACTACAACAGGAGGTACCCTGAGGACTCTATTCTCATTGATTTTGTTGTATTTGTCGAATCAAATGATAAAAGAAGGCCAATCGGCACGCGGAACATGATGTCTCCGTCCACACATATGAAGAGGTTCAATAAAGGCATTAAATATTTGCAATCTATGAATAAATACAAAATAGGTGTTCATTTTGAAAAGCCCTCTCTAGCGAATGCATTTTTAAATAATATTACTTTTCTTAATGAATACAAAATGAAGGCATCTATCCCAGCTGTAGGGACAGAAATAACAGGAGTCATAACCAATGTTCTCACTAATCTTTCTAATTCAAGAATTTTTGGTATGTTAACGACTTACAGGAAGATAATATGTGTTAAAAGGATAATGAGGAAACATAAGAATGATGCAGGACGCAGTTTGCTGCAGCCGACGGGCACCATGGCCATCACATTCGCTTCTAATGTTTTGCCGGACCACGTCGATCTTCATGGTTGGTGGTTCGTGGTAAATCAGTATATTCCACCAGTCCACCAGTGCTACAATTGTCTGAGGTATGGTCACTTAGCAAAGTATTGTAAAAATTCTGTGAAATGCTCAATTTGTACTGAAAATCACAGCTACAAAGATTGCCAAGTCTCTTCAGATAAAGCGATATGCATACATTGCAAAGGAAACCATCTAAGCATTTCTGGACAGTGTCCTGTTAAGAAACAAAAGATAAAAGAAAATCAGGCTAAATTACACAAAACCCCATTTGTAGAACTTTTTAATAAAAACGAATTCCCCGAATTAAACAAAAAAAAATCCCAAAGATGCTCTTATATCACTGCTAAAGAATGATGACATTATTAATATAATTTTAAATACAGTCATTAAAGTATTAACTCTTAATAAATCAAATGAACAAACCACCATATCTTCTCAGCTTATTAAAGATGTTCTCATAGATACAATGAAACCAAAATAGATATTTCATTATTTAACATTTAATATTTTATGGATCAGTTTAACATTTTACAATGGAATGCACAGAGTTTGATTAAAAATCGCTTTCAATTTACACAATTTTTATATGAGAACACCATAGATGTTGCTCACATATGGCTTAATCCTAGGCACAATTTTAGAGTAAAAGGTTCAGGTAATGATCATAATGGAGTAGCAATACTTTTACATAACAAAATTGGATTTCGTGTTATCAATACATTCTCTGATGACTCATTACAAAATAAGTAATGAAGTATCAAAAATAATCGATGATCTCGATAGCAACACTACTAGTGTGGACACTACTGGTCTAAATGGTATAATCACCAAAGTGATTAAATGCCTGAAAAGCATAATTGTAGAAAGGTTAGCGAATTGTATAAATGTGTGTTTAACACGCGGTGTTTTTCCCAACACGCTACAGGTTGTTAAGGTCAGTCCTATCTTCAAATCCGGAAATAGGACTGACCCAAGTAGCTATAGGCCAGTGTCTGTCTTGCCTGTCTTATCAAAAATATTTGAACGAGTCATGTATACTCGCCTAAATGATTACTTAATAAAAAATAAGTTTTTCATTGACCAATAATATGGCTTTCGATCGAAATCGACCACTCTCACAGCTGCAGTAGACTTAATCACAAATATGAAAACTCGTATCGATCAAAGGAATTTTGCTTGGGGGTTTTTATTGACATAAAAAAAAAACATTTGACACAGTAAGCCATCATAAGCTACTGCAGAAACTAAACAACATAGGTGTTACAGGGAAGGCCCTCGAAATGTTCACATCATATCTACAAAATAGGCAACAAGCTGTTCAAACGAATAATTTTACTAGTTCGATTAAAAATGTATCGTACGGCTGTCCTCAAGGCTCAATTATCAGTCCATTACTTTTTTTAATTTATATAAATAATTTAAACAAAATAGGGCTAACAGGACACCTTACCTTGTACGCGGATGACACATGTCTTTTCTATTTCGACAAATCTATTCACAAAATTATAACTTATGCTCAAAAAGATCTTGACCAACTCGGAGAATGGTTAAAATATCACCTACTAACAATTAATACCTCAAAAACATCATTTATGATTTTTTCCACAAACAATAAACCTTGACCAGAGGTTGCACATCTTACTATTGATAATAAAATAATAAAATGTTTAAGTCAGGAAAAATATCTAGGCCTGTTGGTAGATGACAACTCCTATTGTTTCTTTACAGGCTGAATGTCTTACTCCTCCTATCTTACTTAGGTTTAAATATCTGAAATTTAGGTTTTTATTAAATATTAATTCTTTGTCACATCATCCTCTTTTTCAAAAAGTATTATTTTACTATAATAGTATGTCTCCTATATCTAACTCAGCCCCATATATACTCCTTCACTTTCATGAAGTGATACGATATGATGAACAATATAATATTCACAAAAGCACACATACTTGGCCTTGTTATAAGGGGAATTATGAAAGTAAATTCAGTGATATACACATAAATATAGATGAAAAATTGAAAAGAAAAGAAGAGGTTTATGAACTTATATCTACATATGATGAATATCGACAAATTTACACAGATGGTTCAAAAGTTGAAAATAAAGTAGCCTGTGCATTTTACATACCTCATCTGAAAACTGGACGTGGCCTTTCCATTCCTGCATCAGCAAGCATATACACTGCATAATGTTATGCTGTCTTAATCGCTCTTAAATATATAGAAGAACACCCACATGTATCTAATAAACGGTTACTGATCTTTGATAGCATTAGTGTCTTGAAGGCACTGAAGGCAAGAGCTTTAGATGCTAAAACGTCTTTCATCATATATGAAATCAAAATTTTTATGGACTCCGTCACATATTGGAGTTCAAGGAAATGAAAGAGCAGAACATTTAGCTAAAAGTATAGTTACAGCTGATATTGGAAGGATAACCGATGTTGCAATACCACATACAGATTTATATTCAATTTTAAAGAAACAGTTAAAAGCAGAATGGAAAATGCAATGGAATGCTGTTTTAGAGGCAGGAAAAGGTCGTTTGTATGCATCAATTAATTCAGAATTAAGTATTCCTTGGTTTTCTCGCAACGAGAGATATCATAGCAGAAAATTTTATACAATAATGTGCAGACTTAGATTTGGCCACTATCGACTGAACGCTCATCTTTCATGCAATTTCTGCGATACAGAAGCAGATCAGACTGCAGAACATATAATATTTAACTGCCCAGCGTACGCCATAGAAAGATTGCGACTTATAGAAAAACTTATACAAGTTTATGAAAACTCAGAAAGCGTCCCGCGTGCCCTGCAAGTTGTTCTTAGGAATACTAAGACATATTTAGCACTTTGCAATTTTATTCATAATACTGTAAAAGAAATATGAAATATGGTATCCCTGTTTTTGAAAATATTGGATTGACAAATCTACATGGATTGAAACTTACAAAGAGTATAATATAAAGAAGACTTGGCTTTAGCCTTTACGGGTTTTTGAAAATATGAAGAATTAAAGAAAATAAGACTTGACTTCGGCCTTTATGGATTTTGAAGAGATGGAAAGAAGAAAAATAAGACTTGGTTCCGGCCTTTGCACTCTAAAATTCTATATATTCAAAAAAGAAAGACAAGGCTGTATAGCTTAGTTCCTTTGCCTGCTCTCTCGAGCGAATAATAAAAACAACAACAAGTACATTATATTATATAGGGGTTATGTTTTTATTTATCATATAATATATTCAAATGCAAATAATTTAATTTATGAAAAAGTAATATAACAGTATGGACGTAGTAAAAGCTATAGGGAAATACCTAAATGCGCCTGTGGGGACAGTTTGTTACAATACCGATAAAGTATGTGCATTTTTGCGAGAACGATATCTAATAATACTCCAAAATATATATTGATGTAATTACTTTGTACTAAGCCATAGAAGCGAAATTTAAAACTGAAAGGACGTTTTATAAAAAGAAAAAGAATATAGTACAATTAATAATCTTCTTGGAATGTAAATTTATCATAGGTAACTTTTTTAGGTTTTGACTACAGTTCTTGATAAAGAAAATGTAGAAGGATTTGCAACCATAATTTTGAGATTAGCTTCGAAAAGTGGAGCAAAAATGACCCCGGAACAAATTTTGCTGAGCTATCAATGGCTGGAACATATGGCTATGTATGCAAATCAAGCAGTGACTAATCCAACTTTTGCTAAATCGTTTCTACAGGTATGGTCTTATATTTTTTAATACACTATAAGAAAATTTATAACAATAAAAGAAACTAAGAAAATTGTGTTATGGGCCCTACAATTGCTGCAATGGTTTGAACATCAAACTTATGTAATGACTATTTTCTTAAGTGTTTATATGTAAACCTTTGTTAATTTACTTTTAATTTCTCACTATGAATTAATATAAGCTAAAGGATTGTTTTCGTTTGAATATATTTCCTCTTCTTTCTTATTAGCCCATAAACAGTCCCCTATTGGCATGGGCATCTTCCAAAATAGAAAGTTATTATCTTGTCCATGTTTTCTACCGACTTCAAAAAGGAAGTACTCAATTCGACTGGTTTTCTTATGTGTTTAGCTCATAACTTTGTTCTGTATGAACCGATTTCGATGATTCTTGTTTTATTTGAAAGCTGGTGCTTCTCATGTGGTCCAACTTAAATTTGATCAAGGTCTCACTAACAGTTTTTGACTTATTCTTAATAATTTATATTGCAGTTGGTTGTACAAATCTTCCTCATTACCAGGGGGAGTATGGAGGCAGACAAGCGTAGTGTAGGATACCAGACATGTTACTTCATTTCTGTGTAATTAAATATCTTTTTTTTATAACTGGGGTCCTCTGTCCTCTCCCTCTTCATAGAATGATTCTCTCCTGAATTCATGACCTTACCATACCTGTGATTTCATATGTGAAATCATGTATCATCTGTCTTTTCTACTTATGTATACAAATTAAATTCTGTTGTGTATTAACATAATATACATTCATAATATGTCTGCTCAGGGTCCGAATACTCGCTGTAAATTTCACAGTATGTGAGCATCCTGGGTTCGATCCCCGCCAGCACCAATGAAATCGTTAATTGTAATTTAAGTGCTAATATACCATGTGCTCGGTGGTGAAGGAAAACATGAGGAAATATGCATGTCTGAGAAATAAGAAAAAAATAATATTTTGAAAACATTTGAAGTTTGCCAACACACACTGCGGTAGCATGGTGGACATTTCCTTACCCTAAAACGCTTTCAGAAATTAGTGGAGGTGTGTGTCCAGGAGTGGGAATTATAATATAGGCTAAAAGAAGAGTTACACTCTTCTTTTAACTTTAATATGTCTGCTTTAAATCTTTCATCATGTTATGATAATGTTATTTGTAATAATTATAACTTAACATAAAGTAAAAATTGACTTCAAATTGTTAAAATAGAAGTTATTTATTTGCTACCCTTAAGGGTGAAGTTTTTTCTCCAAATTTATATGGGACCATCCTTGAAGTATAACTAACTTAATAAAAAAAGAATCAACAAAATTGGTTCACAATCTGCAAAAATATCACATAACATACATACAAAAAAAACATACACTCTAATTGAGAACCTCCTCCTTTTTGAAATCGGTTAAAAATTACTACAAGTTGTACTAAATTTCTCAAATAGTGCTTCCAATTTATCTGCTTGAAAAAATTGTTCTTCATTCAATACTTCAAGACATTGTTCCCCAAATTGTAAATTACTGTCTTTATCTATGTAAGTTTTCCTAAGTTCTGTCATTGTTATCAAAACTTCTAATCTGGTACCTTTTAACTAGACTATATTTTAATTTATTATAAGCAGCTGTGTTTATTATCTCTTAATGGTAGCTGGTTGAAAATCTTCTGCTATTGCATACACTTTATTATCTCTAGTAATTATTGATGTTATGGAATAAACCTTTGACTATCCATCATTTCCAGGCAACAATGTAAATTCAAAATAAAGTGTCTCCATTTTTAAATGAAGTAATGAACGAAAATGTCTTTTTATAAGATTGTCTATCTTCTATTTATCAGGATTGACAAATCAAATAAATTGGCTCTGTAAATAAAGATATTTTATTTTATTTGTTATAAGTGCTATTACACAACTAAATAATACACTATTTACAAGAACTCTTACCTGTAAATAAAGAAACAACATTAAAAGTGATTCAGGTGACCCACAGGCATGATTGAAATAATATGATCGTCATTTCATTGGATATTTAGAAATTGTTACAGAGTTACTAATATGTTTTTAATTTCTTTTCAGGGTATTAACAAGGCATTAGCAGCTAATACATATTTAACTGGACAGTTTCTGACTATCACAGATATTGCAGCATACCATGTCCTCTATCCCTTAATAGTAAGCTATACTTTGTATTTGACATAATTATGTTTTAGGTTGTAAATACAAACTATCTTTTTTATTGTTAGTTAATCAATTTTGGACCATGATCCCTGATATTATATGCTGATCTGCTTGGGTGGGTTGTGCGGTAGATGTACCAAATATTTCCTAAAATTGCTGCTACTGCTGCACAGTTCTACTGACAAATGGTGTTATAATATACCACCCACTAAATACCAGAGATTGATAATGTTTGCCTAACTTGCGTGGCGAGAATTGTGAAATCTTTTGAGATTGATTGTTTCTAATAACTGCAGCTTGTAAAGGTCTTATATTTAATTATGTATTTATTTTATAAATATATAGTCAATATAATTTGAAAGGATTGTTATACTGCCTAATATGCATGTGATTTTTTGAAGTGTGTGAAGTGTGTGTTTTATTCTTTAAACTTTAAATTTAAAAAAATGCAGTTAACGAAATCAAATAAAAGACTTTAACATTAAGACCTTTTATTTGATACCAATACAATTTTTATTTTAGAAAATTATGATTGGAACCTTCGCCTTTCAGTACTATTGATTACCATGGGACATTACTGCATGCGAAATATAATCTGTATTAATCGCTTGCAATCGTAACATAGCACAACATGCCTCTCCCAATCTAGGAAGGATTTTTGGCGTAATAGGTCTGCTTGAAGGCGGATTGCCGATCACAATAGCAGATTTCTCGTATGGTATTATTTTATATCTGGCATATACGAGGGTATATCGCTATCTATCGGCGATCATGAGTCTTTCCCATAGTCGCCTATTATGACAGCCACAGGACGAGGTAGATGAGGTTAGAGCACAAGAGGTGGTGGATTCCTTCATGCTTCATCACATTCCATATTAAAAATTTCAGATTTTAAGCATTATAGTCAGGTACTGTAAAACTTGTGACGATACAGCAAACTTCGTAGCTTGTGAGAGATTTATATTTTGTTTAAATATAGTGCTCTATTAGTGTACTATTAAGGCACGTCTATTTTTTACAGGAGCGGCTGAGTGTTACAGAACAAGAATCATTATTGTATGTTTGTAGATGGTCGAAACACATACAAGCTCAACCAAGAGTGTGTACAAATCGGCCCCCGCTGCCACTTCATACTTTAACACTCTCAATTCTGGCTCCAGTTGCACACTAGCAGTGTACACCTCGTTGTACTGTAATCTTCATTTTAATCATGATTGACTTGTGAAAAAATGAGTAAATGTTTATTGTACAAATTGCTTTTTCTTTATCATTTTTCTTATCAACAAAATGAAACGTAAAAGCATATTGTGTGCACTGTTGTTGCTCAATAATTGTTTCTACTTGCTTCTCTTTTATATAAACTTTTTGAATATTCAGGTATGTAAGATTTTTTGTAAACTTGTTTTTTTCATGATGTAATGATAAAAAGAAATTTCTATTGCAGATGGCAAATGTATCTGTGTTGCCAAAACAAATTTTTCCACACGAATTGCGTAATATAAGCTTGGATAAACCTGTTATATATCACCCGCAGCCGTTTTCATATCCAAATTATCCTGTTATTTTGTACCTTTAACTTAGTTTTCTTCAGTCTGAAGCCATTTATCCATTCATTTGACCAAACTGTAAATTTTATAAATCGAAAATAATTAGAAATGTTAGTATTTTATTGTCATATAACCATTCTTACTATGAGTAAGGAATTATAAAATTATTTATTTAGTTATGGTTGATTTCTTGCTTTTTGTGATTTTTTTTCTGTCGATCAGAGAGCCGTAGCATTAAGCAGTGTTCAAGTTTATTTGAATAAGAGCAACCATCTTCTTCAGCATCTATAATGAAAACAAAAGCGAGATATTAAATCACGTAACTGAATTTTGATAGCATGACCAGATTCTAAAAATACTTGTGTATAACCGTTTTTTTAAAAGCTTTTATTTAACTTTCAATGTAACTATGTTTGTTCGGGTGGAATCTTGCAACTCAATTTTGAAGCAGATATCTTCAATCGATTGAGCTAAAATTTTGTATACACGTTAATTTTGGATGACAATGCTTATTTAGCTATGTGACGTCATTCTAAATCCAACATGACGGAACACCCAAGATAGCGGATTAGTTATTTTTATTGCATTCCTACAATATGGGTATCAAATGAAAGGACTTGCTGAGTATAACTCGAAAAATAAAGTGACGTCACTCTTTAATTAATTTTTAATTAATTTTTTTTAGTTAATTTAAAAATATACTAGTAATGCTATTAAGCATTACTAATATTCCCTTTAACCACTTCTGGTAAGCTTAAAATGCTTGTGTTAGAAGTGGTTCACGACAGTAGTCGAATGGCGGCTTCAAACCCACGACCTTTCGAGTTCGCGGTCCGTGCCCTGCCATTAGGCTACTGACGCTTCAAACTCTAAATCCAATATGGCGGACTTCTAAAGATGGCGGACTAAATTTTTTATGCTTTCCTACAATATGGGTATCAAATGAAAGGACTTGCTGAGAAAACGAATGTGAGTTAAAAAAAATAAGATGGTGATCATAAACTCCGTTGCTCCAATCTGTCTGAAATTTTGGTGTACTGGGGTTTTTGGGAGTCCTCGATAATGATATTGGGGTGGAATTGTTCGAGTCTGTAGCATCGGTCAGTAAACTTTGACTGTCTAAAGGTCTGGTGAATGGTGTCATTGGATATATTATATATATGGCCCTGCTTCCGGAGAGCACAAATGTATGATACTGACATATCACCGTCCGTATAGACTTCGGTAAAGATGGTGTTCATATCATTCAACCCAAGCCTGTGCAATTTCCAGCAAAATATAGTCACAGCACTGCAGAACGAAGAATGCTGCCAATTATATTATGTTGGGCTTACACAGAACACAAAATGCAGGGTTGTACTGTCGATCACGCCGTTGTATACTTAGTCTCGAAGCTCTTCGCTGCTGGTCAAGCATACGTGGCCTTAAGTAGGGTAAAATCATTAGAAGATCTCCTAATTGAAGAGCTAGACGGTTCGAAATTTACCGACAAACGACCTTGCAATAATGATGCGTTGAATGAGATGAACAGACTGAGAAACCTATCCAGCGATAACATAACAGTAAAAAATTAAAGTAAAAAAAATACTTTTTTAAAAACAAGCTTTTATTTAAACGCGCTAAAAAGAATAAAATAAACTTTTCCTTTAAAACTTTTACTTGTCGTGAGATTGACCTGTGTAGATAAATGTGTAGGATCTGATTGATATTAATTTAAAAAAAAAATCAAACTAAGTAAATACGAGTACTTAAACAAGCAAGTCAGATCGTGAATCTGAAATTTCATTTATCGACGTTCAATCGCACACGCCACGCGCCCGCCTCGTTCCCGCTCCGCGCCGGCCCCGCGCTCGCCTCGCACACGCTCTGCACCCTCCCCGCTACGCCTTACGTCCGCGCTTTTTATACCAATTCAGATTTATTGATTTGTCATAAGACTCAAGTTATATGCAACAAACAAAGCGAGTTAGACGCGTGTGCTCACTCGCGTGGCGTGCGCGTAGCGGGTGCGTGTCGTCGGAACGCGGCCTAACTCATCTATTAACGTACGGTCCGAACCGCTATACGTGGAAATGTGAAATTTTGATTTATTGAAGACATTCAGACTTAAGGGAAATACACAATATTACTTTGTGGCTTTTTGACGACATAAATGACATAATATACATAACTAGCTGTTCACCGCGACTTCGCCCGCGTGTAATTTAGGGTTTTAATTACGTTGCGAGGAACCCTAATTCTTTTTATAAAATATAAGTAGCCTAAGTTACTCCTTATAACATCAGCTATCTGCCAGTGAAAGTCCCGTTGAAATCGGTCCAGCCGTTTCGGAGATTAGCCGGAACAAACAGACAGACAGACCGACAGACAGACAAAAATTTTAAAAATTGTGTTTTTGTTATAAGTACCGTATATACTTTTATATGCATTTAGTAAAAATAATATTAATACAGAATAATATTAATACAGAATAATATTAATACAGAATAATATTAATACAGAATAATATTAATACAGTAAAAATTAATATTACAAACGGACACTTTTATTTATTTGTATAGATATAACACCATGTTTTACTGTTTTAAATCGTGGTACATATATGTATGTATTATATTTACCCATCTGTCCATATTCTTTCCTTTCCCGTGTTACTACGAAGGAATGCATAATATTTGAGCATGGATTAAATACGATTAAAATTTATTAGTATACCTGATTGTAGTTCTTGAAAACATGCTCCAATTTGATATTGTATTAAATACGACCGTTGCGATGTCACGGAGGCTTGAACTTTATTCCAAAAATCAGCTTCCCGCGGAATGCCCCGTGAATCAACCTGAATAAAAATGACACGACGAAATACAATGATGTTGATGTTTGTTTTTTATAAAAATATTATGAAACAACTTACCACTTGCAAATTACTGAACACACACTGGCTGAGACACTGGAAAAATAACATGTATAACGCTTAGAAAACAAGTTAACACATTGATATATGATAAGTTTTCATAGGCATGTAATATCATGTAGCCATTGTATCTTTGGGTTTTACACAATTAGAATAACCTGGCTCATAGATAAATAAATAATACAATAAAGCGAAAATAAAATTGTATTACGTTATATTATATAAATATTTTCTTATTGATCAATGATCTGCCACATTCACGGTCCTGATGCTTGGATCATATATTTATGACCATCGTTATTTAGTTAGAGGCTACACTGTACAGTAGGCTGCCACACGAGAGCCTTATTTCCTTCCACTGGTTTTTCGGTTGTAGGAATTGCACACATATTCATACAACTTAGGGCGTAGTGTTCTTAATAACTACTGCAGTGCGTACACACATTATGTATCCGTAAATAAATCTAATATTACGTGAACAGAAAGTATTACGTTCTCTTATTATGACGACTCCGTGGCGCAGTGGCTTAGCAATAAGTTGCATCACCAAGGGCCGCGGGTTCGAATCTCGCACGGAACAAGTATTTGTATGGCCTACAAATAATTGTTCCGGGTCTGGATGTTTGTCCTTGTGAAGTTTATGTATGTACCACGACACAGGAGAAAATACTAGTGTAGAGGTAACGTTTAAAAAAAAACCGGCCAAGTGCGAGTCGGACTCGCGCACCGAGGGTTCCGAACAAATCCGTAGGTATATGAGTTTAAAATTACCTATTAAAAATATTTTTTATATGATGTAGGTAACTAAAAATTTATACTTTTCTTTAATACTTTTCGCAATTTTTCCTTTATCTGTGATATAATACGTTGCTTTGTACCAATTTTTAATATTCTGAGTTCACGGGAAGTACCCTGTAGGTTTTGATTCCCTTGCGAATGTCGAAAATTTGCGGCATAAACGGCTGTACCTTTTGATTGCGTTGGCTAAGAAGTTTAATTTTTTCACAGCTCCAAGGGACAGTAGACTTGAGTATTTGGTATGAATTTCAGCTTGATACCTCCACGCGCTCCTGAGAAAAAGGGTCTTGACAGACAGACAGACGGACAACAAAGTGATCCTATAAGGGTTCCGTTTTTTTGAGTTATCCTTAATAATTTATATTGAAGTCGTATGTACAATTTTTTTTAATTTTACCACTTGTTTTTTTTTCTAGATAAGCGCCCTATTGCACAAGGCATTTGCCTTAAGGCGATAACCCGACCAAAACCTTGCGATAGTGCGTTTTTCAGAGACTATTATCTCATTAGTCATGAGTAACTACTTACATCTAAAAGCACATTATTAATTTTCGATATCCTATCATCACATTCCACGTTCTAATTTGTTTTTAAATCTACTTTTAAAAAATTACTAAAATTATTGATTACATGCATCTGTTGCTTAAGGCAACGCTCTAATCATTTGAGGATTAGACTAATGGATAGATAATTTAAAAATCTATATTCTTCACGTTTTACTTAATTTTTAAAGTTCGTATTTTTCTTTTTTAATTAAAATAATTCCAAAAATTGCGTGAACTCTATGATAAAGCGGCGTACGTCTAAAGAGGGAACAAATGCTCAAGGTTATTTGGTCAGGGAAACGCCTTAATTATCGGATCACTTAGCAGACGATCGCATTCCCAGTCTTGCACCTCATTTAACTTACCTCATCTGTTCTGGACTTCTCCAAAAGTTGTTCATTTCTTTTATTCCTATTTAAAGAAGAATTGTTCGTATTCGTGCTATTAACAGAATTGTCGTAACTACGACTTGAACTGTTAAAATTTTCGTTTTCGTTTTGGTTTTCATAACTAATGAAATCGTTGCTTGTAATATTAATTATTTGATTCTGATCCATCATGTCACTTATATTACGCCTCTGGTGGTCATATGGATTTGTGGACTTCGTGTTGCTATCAATGCGTCGGAATTCATCGTCACATATAGCCCTATTTGAACGGCGACTACGACGGTTGGTATTACTAGTGTGTTGCTTACTATCGTTGGGCGTACAAGCTCTGATTGCAGCTGCTATTTCTTCCTCTAACAAATGGATGTTCCCTTCGCCAGCACATGATATTAATGTTGGTATAAATATTAAAAAGACTATGGTTCCGATCATGCTGTCTAGCGCGAAGTAATACGAGGAACTGTATTGGTACCATATAAACGGGATTGCGCAGGAAATAAAGGTCATTATATGCGACAGTTGAGTGACGGATTCAGTTTCGATTCTATAGTTCATACTATTGTTATGATACTGACAGTAATTAGAATCTAATTTCATTGTGTTTATATGAGATATTTCGCCGTGTGCTTTGTGTTGGGGAAATTGGCGACAACCGTGATTTTACTTCTCTTCTAACTAGATGGGCCTATGCATGAAGTTTCTCTGCGTGCTAGAATCCATAATGAACACTGAACAGCATTTATGTTCTGTGGTAACGAATACATTTATTATAAGCATTATTACCAGGATAACCAACATATATTTTTTTACGTGGTAGAGCCACCTATGGCTCTACCACGTAAAAAATATAAATTTATTGTAAATATAAATTTATTGTATAGTTGTAACACGAATGGGTCGGCTCGACCGGGGAAGGACTACGCTCTCACAGAATACCAGTGTAAAATAGCAGCTTGATGCTGCTGTGTTTCCTTTGGTGAGTGTAGAGAACCGGAGACCCTTTTTACTGGAAACGAGGCATTCCATCTTAGTCCTCACGGGTGACAACGCATCTGCATTTTGACTCATAATCGAGGATAAATGCAACCACCACTTACCATCAGGTGGACTGTGTGCTCGTTTGTCACCCTATCCTATAAAAAAATATAAACCTTAGCAGGATAGTTGAAATGACATCTAACGGAAGGTATATGTAAGTATTTCCGAGAAGTATGTTGACCTTGAAGCATATGCGGAGTCGATGGATGCGGACAGCTAAAAGGCGTACGTCTGTGAATAAAAATCCTTGTCTTTAAGTTTACTAGGTGGCAGGATTCAATTTCTACCTGGGAATCTGTCTGGATAGGTACCACCCTCTGTACTATATCTGACGCCAAGCAACAGTGCGTGAACTGTTATGTTCCGGTCTAAATGGTATACAACCTTCACCAAAGGACAACAGGTATCTCCTGTTATATACTGTACTATAATCATAATGTTCATTGATGACACACACGATACGCTAATTACTGGTCTATTAATATCCGAGGATTGACCCCGTAGCCTTTTTTATATAAGGTAAGGGTAAACGAGCACACAGTCCACCTGATGGTAAGTGGTTGCTGTAACTCATAGACATCTTCATCTATCCTCCATTATGAATTAAAATGCAGATGCGTTGTCACCCCTAAGGGCTATGATGGAATGCCTCCTTTCCAGTTAAAATGGTCTCATCTTCAAACGAAACAGCACCATTAAGTTGCTATTGTAAGCTGGTATTCGGCGGGAGTGTGGTCTTTCTCCGGTCAAGCTGACCTATAAGGAAGTAGTAGTAGCCTTCAAACTACCGTATGTAATATATTATGATAAAACGCTTTCACAATACTGAAGAATTTCCCAAGTAGTGAGGGGTAAGATTTCTTAAAAAAAAAAAGTATTTTAGAGTTTATTACCCACTTTTTATTAAGATCTCATTTTTTCGTTTTGATTGTTTTATTTCAACTTTTAAATAAAGAAGTGTTTTTTAAGTGAAAACTTTTTTCTCCTTAATTTTTTTTTGGGATTTTCGTCGAAATGACATGCCAATCCCATCATACCTTATAATAATTACTGTTAATTCCTATTTTGTTCTATAGTGATCTATAGAACAAAATAAGAAAGCATAATTGTGAGTACTAGTTAAATTAGGTACTAACCTAAAAAGAAAATTATACTGAAGATGAGAAGATCCGTACTAGAAGCAAGCCGTTTGATAAAACCATTTGCACTAGATCGAGATCCAAAATATTTGCTCGTTTGCCGTATATTTTTCGTTCTTGACAGACTCCATCAACAAATGGTAAACTTCTTCAATTTTGTTGCATACATCACAATTCGGTGAAGGTTTTTTTCCATTAAGAAAGCGAATTGCTGATCGAATATGACCAGAACAAAGCCTTAGAGCTAACGTAACAAAATTTCTGCTGAGATTATCTACAATCATTAAACCAAGGTACCTACGCGATAAGGTTCGCTTTGTATAGTTCTATACCAGATGCCTTTCGTTCAAAAAAAAAGACTTCTCTTCAAAATAGCGTTTCCAATTTTGGTAACATACACTTTTAAATTATGAGACATTTTCAGTCGGATCTGGTATAAAATTAATGTTGTCACCCTCTATTGCAGCTAGCAGACCCATCGCAATATTAACGGAATATTCCGTTTGTTATAAATATTAATAAATTTTAAAATATCATAAGCTATCGAGCTGCGTCTGAAACCAGAGGCACACCGAGTTATATGCTGTAAATGCTTTTGCTATCGCAAAAAATAACTATTTTATTAATTTTATTTTTATGTGCATACATCAATGCTTGCGAAATTGCAATGAGCTCTAGCGTCGTTATTGACACATCAACATTTACTTTAAATTTAGCCCTGTATACTAAATATTGATCAAAGACACCAGTTCCTACGCTATTGTTTATTTTTTGAGCCGTCAGTGTATATTTTATGCCACCCCACAAAGAAAACTTCTTTAGCATCATTGTCATTTAAAACTCAATGAAACGAAAAAGCGACACTAAAAAGAGATAAATATATAGGAGAAAATGATATAGACTCTATACTAATATAATAAAGTGGAAGAGGTTTTGTGTTTGTTTTAAACATGCTAATCTCTGGAACTACTTCTCCCATTTGATAAATTCTTTTCGTATACGGCAACCAGATTTACGAATAGTATAGGCTATTTGACATTAGGCTGCACCGTTTAGCTAGCCTTAAATATTGATTTTTGATAAGCAAGTCGGAAGAAAAAGCCTCCCGTTTTTCCGGATTTATCCGCATGCACTGGCGTAATGGTTAGTGAAACGTAAATACTATGTTCTACAAAAATATAGATCTCTTCTCCATCTAAAAAAAGTCCGCGATAGCATAGACCTATTTCTTATACATAAGCTACAATAAGGTATTTTGTGACAAAAACATAACATTGAAAATTAAAAAGTGATTTATAAGGGCTAAGAATTATTATTAGGCATATTAATCCTTACGAACGAAAGTTACTTCATCATCAAGACAATTTTGTGAAGATTAACTTTGCTCTTCATAGCATGTTATTTGGACGCATAGTTTAAGAGATAATTAAAAATTAAAATAGACGAGTGAAAAATAAAAATAAATAAATCATTTGCTGTCAAATGTTTTGTTTTATATTTTATTTCATGTGAAAGTTTCACTTCTACCGAGTGTGAACTGTACACATGTTTTTTTATTCATAATCTATACAAATAAATAAAATTGAAGTGTCTGTTTGTAATGTCAAAATTACAGTTTTTTACTAAATGCATATGAAAGTAAAAATGGTACTTATAACTAAAATACAGTTTTTAAAATTTTTGTCTGTCTGTCTGTCTGTTTGTTCCGGCTAATCTCCGAAACAGCTGGACCGATTTTGACTGGACTTTCACTGGCAGATAGCTGAATTCATAAGGAGTAACTTAGGCTACTTTTATTTTAGAAAAAGAATTAGGGTTCCGCGTGAAAACATAAAACCCTAACACGCGAGCGAAGTCGCGAGAAACAGCTAGTTGAATATAAACCATTGAGTTATAATTATATACTTACGTACTAGAGAAGCTATTGCAAACAAAAAATGTAATAATGATTATCTTATGGACTTCACAAATCTTCAATTTATTTAGTTTAGTGTATCGATTGTAGTACAGTTCAGTTGAACATAGTCAACGTTCGGAATGCGAAATCTAGTGCGTAGTACATATATATCGATGATATAAACAAATTTTATCCTTTGCCGTAGTATCCCCATTTGCCATTGCCCCATCCGCTCCATGCTGGTTTAGTGTTCGCTCCATATATTCGTACGACGGATTGTCCAGAATTAATGGTTTCATAGCTGGGACAAGGTTGAGGCTTACTGAGGCTGGATATTAATTTAGACATTCCGACTCCACTCATACTTGCATAGCTTGTTCCAATAGCGCTTATTCGTCCACTGCCGTATCTGCCATAATTACCGCTAACACTGAATGTTAGCGGTATGTGAATACTTCCCAAATTGTGATCTGTTCGTATTTTTGGCCAGAAAAGTCGAGCTTTTGCTAACGTCACTTCTTTTTTCTTGTTAAATACTGCGAATACGCATACAAATTAATTAAAAACTTAATTACATTGATCTAGAAAGAGTTAGACAGGACAGAGGCTTTTATTTTTAATCATCAGCAAAAGCATAATAAATTACTATCAATGAGCGCTATTTATAATTTATAATAAGAACAAAATTAATTATATTCTGAAATGAATTAGTTAATAAACCGACCTATGATTATTATTCGTTTAAACTAAAATGTTTCTCTAAACGTTTTATTACAAAAAATGTTATTGGGGTCTTAAATATGTGCAAATTGAAAATGCCCACAGTTATAGTAGACCGCCATCATAACATGATCATCAGCACTCTTTGAGGAATTGTTCGGATTAATTTCAGCCTACAAGAAGTTTTCTTCCTCGCATAACTTCCTTGTGGAGTCGACTTAGGGACGTTCAAGAAAAGAGCTTAATCTTTTTTAAAAGGCCTGCAACGCACCTGCAATTCCCCTGGTGTTGCAGATGCTCATGGGCGGCAGTAGTCACTTACGATCAGGTGAGCCGCATACTCATTTGCCCCCTCTCATATGAAATAAAAACTTAATAGATCATCGTGGAACGTCGTTGGTTTCTATCATAGTCAGGATGATTTGTTATATTGCCCAAACCAGCATGTTTTAAACATTAGTTAATATAATATATTAGTTATTACAATATACTAGCTTTATTTACATGGTAGAGTCATGCTGCAGCTATATTAACTGTATAGCTGTAGCACGAATTGGTTGTCTCGACCGGGGAAGGACCACGTTCTCACAGAATACCAGCTTAACACTGCTGTGTTCCGTATGGTGAGTGTAGAGAACCGGAGACTCTTTTTACTGGGAAAGAGGCATTCCATCTTAGTCCTCACGGCTGACAACGCATCTGCATTTTGATTCGTAGTCGAGTATAGTTGTAGATGTCTACATCTATACACAACAACCCCTTACCATCAGATACCATACTATAAAAAAAATACCCGCTCGATTCACTGTGCGCATGATAATAGACGATAATAACGTTACATATATAATATCAAGAATTGCTTTTTATGGGACTGTCGTAAAGTTCGTTCTTAGTGAGCGTCGACATTGCGAAATGAGTAACTTTACTAAATTTGAAGTCGATATCGGTATCGGGTTTATAGTTTTAGAGATATCATGATGAGTTCTACTTCAAACAAAGAAGGCTACTGAAATGAGAATAGACTGTTTATCCCCTATCTATACCCTTCAAAGCGAAATACAGTAGGCTACTTGACAGTCAAAATATGTAAGAGAGTACGTAGAAGAGAGAAAAAGTAGAATAACCTACCCACACCGACACTTAACCCGAAAGGGAGGCCAACTCATATTTGTTAGATGGGGTTGTAATATGGGGGCTTAAAAGTGAGGTGGAATATTTGACAGTTTTCATAGCAGGGAAGTTAAATTGTTCAAAAAATATAAAGGTTAATGTTTCTTTGTGTACTATTAGTTATATTTTATAATAAATAGATTAAAAATAAATAAAAGCCAAACTACAGATATTTATAAAAGTTAAAAAGAGTTAAAATGTGCAAAAAATTAAAGTGCAAACCACTGAGGCTGTGTTTTGTGTATTAATATTATACTCTAGAAACTGATAAACTTTCAATTAAAACTAATTTCTCAATTAAATGGCAATAAGTAACAACGAACTTAATCTCAGTGTCAACTAGCGACATCTGGTGGGTGAATGATTATTATCCGGTTATTACAAAATAACCCTGTATACTAATAATAGCCAATATAATAAATCGATGACCAAATTTGGTAAATACTTACATCCTTCGAGTGTGACTTCTGGAGTAGTTTTAGCTGTTAACTGAGAAGATTTAGACCACATGAGTTCTGATGGGCTAGAAATTTTTATCGGTGGACTAGGCAAGAGGTACAGAGCCGGATCTAGTACAGAACACTCCATAACACAGAAAACGGCCATCGCATACCAGGATATAATAAACTGAAACAGTAAAGTGTGTTTTATTTTAATCAAAAAGAATACAAGTAGTGCTGTTAATACTATTTAATCATCCCAACTACTTGCTTTGTTACCGAAGAAATTTAATACCACGTTTAATTTAAATTCATATGCTATGAAACTGAGAGGATATGCAATCAAAATTTATTGGCAGGAATCGTAGTAATTTTTAATAAAAACCTTGACACGTTTATCAACTATCACTTTTGATAAGAAAAACAATCTGTGGTCATACATGGTACCTACAGCATATGCAAGGCTTAAAAAACATATTGACTGTTTTTAGAGGCTATTTTAACTTATTTAAATTACAATTGTAGGACTGTCCCGCAAAGTCTGACCGCGATACGAAAAATAATCTGTGGATTTATTATACGTGGTACAGCATATGCATTTGCAAGGCTTACAATACATATTGACTATTTTTCTAGACTATTTTATTAAATTATTTTAATTAAAATTGTAGGACTGTCCCGCAAAGTCTGGCCGCGTTGCTAATTACTGCTTTTAAATGTTTTTCTTTTTATTTATTTTTTGTACAACAATGAAATTGTTAATGGGGTTAATTAACACATTTTTTTATAAACATTATCCATATTAGCGTTGGGGTATGTATGGAATGAAGAACTAATAGGTACATCAATTTTTTGTTAGTTTTTTTTAAAATCATAAACAATTAATTATATGTCTATGGGCCACTGCAACCACTTACCATCAGGTGGAATGTGTGCTCATTTGTCACCCTTATTCTATAAAAAAGTGCTACAAAAAGTTTGTGTGTAATAAATAATATTAGAGACAATTTGCAGCGGAAAAGCGCAAAAGCTACCTTACGCCTGCACGCAGTAAATAACACAATTTAAGATTTGACGGACGGGATTTGTATAAACGGATTATGACTGAACTGACTATGGTTATGACGTATTAATAACGATAGGATAAACCTCCTGAGAATTATAAACACCAGATTGAATAAAATTAATTTTAATACATTTTATCGCGTTTATTTCCAGTATTCATTCAATAAAAATCAGATTTCTTCCAGAAAATTAATTAAATCATACTCGTAGTGTATTTATGTAACCAATGCAGAAAATTCCTAAAGTCATAGTTAGACTTAAAAATTTCTATAAATATTCCAATTTTTCGTAAAAATGATTTAAATTTAATTTTAATTTACTTACAAACATTATAAAATTGCTTCAAGTCACTCTTTAATTCCATATAACACAACGAAACGAACTGTTTACTGTCCTGTGGTCCCGTGAGTATTACCTATTAGATGAGACATGGGAAAGGCTTTCTCCTTAATTCCGGATATAATTCAAGGTCGAAAACCAGGTTTAAAATTATTACGCAAGTGAAAGGCTGCTCCATTGTCAAGGTCAACGAAAGTTTTCAATACAATGTTTTTAACAGTTTAATTTAATTTTTTACATATTATTTTTCAAGAATAAAGTTACTTAATCCCTTTCGAGTTTGCGTGCAACTCTGCGTTCGTTGCTCAAAACATAGGACATCACATTTATTGATCATCAAATTATTTGGTAAGGTATTTTGGCTAAGAATTTTTTAACTTCATGTAATTTTTTTTTCTTTAAAAAAAATAACGTTACTACACTAGGATTTTCTCCTGTACCGTGGAGGCAGTTTACAAACACAAATTGCACAAGGACAAACATCCAGACCCGGAACAATTATTTGTAGGCCATACAAATACTTGTCCCGTGCGGGATTTTATAAACATCTTCAATTTTAAGTATATTATTTATTTATTCTTTATTCTAAGGGCACAATGGGTGAACCCAAGAGCTTGCTTTAAATTTCACAGTACTTATTTCAAATTGTTAAGTGCTGATTTGCCACGTGCTTTATGGTGAAGGAGAACACCATGAGGAAACTTGTATGTCTCAGAAATAAGAAAATAATATTTTGAAGACATTACACACACAAGTGTAGTGTACCCCCCATGTAGTGGCGGGTAAGAATACCCACTACCTCATATCTTTCCGTGGGTGTCGTAAGAGGCGACAGAGGAAAACTGACGATGTGCAGTAGAATCTTTCTGACTGATTACAGCAAAACTACAAAAAAAACTGCCGTTGCCAACCCGCTCGCCAAGCGTGGCAACTATGACAATATACCCCCCCCCCATGATTTACGAAGACACGGCCCCCATTTCCCGGTGACCCCGCTATTACTACTTACGGTGGCAACCATGGTATCGGCAGGGCATGGGGTGCTAAGAATCTCCCGGTGGAGGTTCGATTGCCACTTAAGACTACTCGACCTGGCAACTTATAACGCACGCACTCTGAGGACTGACGAGAAGATCTTGGAGCTGGAAGAAGAGATAGACAATTTGCGCTGGAATATTATAGGATTATCTGAGGTCCGAAGAGAGGGGGAGTACATGGTAATCCTCGAATCCAGCTACTTGTTCTATCACCAGGAGGGTGACCATCTGTCCCAAGGAGATGTCGGTTTTATCGTCCACAAGTCTCTCGTTAACAACGTTGTAAGATTGAGAGTGTGTCCACGGGGGTTGCATACCTTATACTCAGAATCACCAAACGGTATTCGCTAAGGCAGGTTTACGCACCAACCTCGGCAAATCCCGACGACGAGGTGGAGGAAAATGTATGAGGATATATATAGAGCCATGAATTCCTCCAAAACCCACTATACGGTGTTAATGGGAGACTTCAAGGAAAAACTAGGCACAAGAGAGAACGGTGAGCTGAAGATAGGGAAATTTGGAATATGGCAACGGAACCCAAGGGGCCAGCAGCTGGCCGACTTCATGGAGAAAGAGGGACTCTTTATGATCAGGTCTATTTCCTGTGGGGCCTATCTTCCAGAATAGGCCCCACTGGAATTAGACCTGGTCGAGCCTCGACGGATCGACAAAAAATGAAATTGATTTCATTATGGCGACCAGACGACAACTGTTCAGTGATGTCTCAGTGATCGCGAGGGTGAAAACCGGCAGCAATCACAGAATGGTGAGAGTCCAAAGTCCCGAAACCTCTCAGCTCAAGCTACAAAACCGTTTTCAGTGCATAGAAGACTGCTATGCAGTGGACGATGTGAATGACAAGCTCGTGGAAACTGTCCATGCGGTTGAAGCTAAGTTTTGCAAGACCCGACGCAGAAGAACACAAAAACTCTCCGATCACACTCTTAATCTCATGGCTGTTAGACGGGAAATGAAGCTGCAGTCTTCAGTACATTTGACAGCAGGTAACTAAACAGACAGATCTCGAAATGCATGCGGCGGGACTTACGCAACTTTAATATTGCTCGTATTGAAGAAGCGATCGAGCGGAACCAGGGCTCCAAAGTCTTTGCTAGAGATCTGTCTGCCAGAAAGAGCCAACTGTCGAAGCTGAAGATTCGGGACACCTCGGATTTTGAGTGAGATTGAGAGGTTCTATGGGCAGCTGTACAAATCATCATTGAAGCCACACGCAAGTGTGAGTAACGATCTAAGAGCAAGTCTTATCCGACACTATTAGTGTTATGGATCGCAGTGGACTGTATTATTGGTGGGGGGGGGGGGGTACGCTAGGGGGCAACTGCTCAAAGAAAAGATGGTACTGTCGAACTATACTGTATTCTAACTATTTACAAAATGTGGCACTATTAATTAAACTATTACACAGAGGGGAGTCTTCTTGATGGAGTCTTCTTGAGTCTTGATTTTCTTGATTTTCTTGCTGTCTTCTTCTCGTCGAGTGCCGCTTCCGAAATGAACAGCTAACCGTCCGAGACGCCCTTCTTATATCTCGCCGGAGAGTGTCTCGGGTCGTGCGTAGCGCCGTCCGCGATGCCGCGCGCTCATTGGTCGGCGACATCGCGTGATCTGCTGCCGGTGTGTGGGGTGCGCGGGCGCACCGGGGTGTGAAGGGGCGACGGGGCGGTGGCCTCCTCGCTGTCCGCTACATCCTCCCACCGGCGTAGCCTGCGAGCCTAAGCTTCTCTCGGGAGGACGGCGATCTTCCTGACGGGCCGCCGCAGCACTCCTCCCTTGGTCCGGACCTCGACGTTCCGTACCACGCCGTCTGGTCCAGGAAACGTCTTCGTTACGATGCCCCGCGGCCACACATTCCTGGGTAGGTTGCCGTCTGCAACCACGATGAGGTCTTCTTCCTGTATTTGGCGCTGCCGAGCATCTCTGGAGTCCCCGCGCGCGACCAGCGTCGGCAGGTACTCCTTCACCCAGCGCCTCCAGTATTCGTCGGCGAGCACCTGCGCCGCTCTCCACGCCCGACGATCCATTGGTGTGCACGGCGCGGTGACTGGCAGGCCCGATGGTCCCAACAGTAGGAAGTGGTTGGGTGTCAGCGCCTCTTCATCGTCGATGTCGACCGGTACGTGCGTCAACGGTCGAGAATTTATAGTATTTTCGGCTTCCGTCAGAAGCGTTGCCAGCGTTTCTTCTCGTGGGCTCTTCTGATGGAGAGTGGCTTCGAGCGCGGTCTTCACTGAGCGCACGAGACGCTCCCATGCGCCTCCCTGGTTAGGCGCGCCCGGTGCGATGAACTTCCAATCGACGCGCTGAGTCAGCGCGTAATCCTTTAACTGTGGCGCCCACTCTTCCATTGCCCGTCTTAATTCTGTGTCTGCCCCGTGAAAATTAGTCCCATTATCCGAATAAATAACCCGTGGCCACCCACGCCTAGCCGCCATGCGCCGCAATGCCGATATCGCCGAGTCCGCGGTCAGAGAATAGACTATCTCTAGATGTACTGCGCGCGTCGTTAGGCACGTGAACAGTGCCACCCACCGTTTTTCGTGCCGTCGTCCTATCGTAACCGTCAGAGGCCCGAAATAATCAATCCCGGTGTTCGTAAATGGTCGCGCAAACGCCCCTAACCGTTCAGGTGGTAGGTCTCCTGTAACCGCAGGTCGTGGTGTCGCCTTCCGTATTCTGCATCGTAGGCATCTCTGCTCCGCTT